CATCCATGTACTTTAACGTTTTAAACCCTCGAACCTTATCCTATTGATCCATCGCACTTTAGCGTGACATACCATCGTACTTTAGCAAACAAACAACCATCGCACTTTAGCGTGATTCACCATCGTACTTTAGCGTAGACCATCGCACTTTAGCGTGACCATCGCACTTTAGAGTACCATCGCACTTTAGAGTCCTACATATATATATATATATATATCTTTTGCAGTCACCACTGAAATGTCCTCAATACGATTTTAATTTAAAACTGAATTAGGTTTATGTTTTGAACGAGAAGCGTAGTCTGAAACGACAACAGATGTATATGAAGCTCATTCATAATATTACGACCAGCAGAAGGTTTCCTTTACTAGGAAAATTTTACTCCTTTTGTAAATTTACTGCATTCGTTCATCTTTGGCACCCTAAAAAGAAGAAAAAAACAATGACTTTAGAATAGGAGAAAATAAACTTTGCTATAAACAGAATGAAAAATGAATAAAATGTCTAACAAAATGCAGGCTATAAATTTCATAGTGCACAAAAAAGAAGGACTGATTTAAGGAAATTTGTCCATGAACATTTTCAATATTTAGCCAGTTTAATAAAAAATTTCGGGTATAAATCAGAAAAAATCGCCACATTGTTGGATCAAATTTTACGAAAATAGTCTTATTTTCACGAAACAACATTTGGGAGTACTATTGGCCCATAAAATTATATATTTATTAGCATATTTTCAAGTTTTAAGAAAAAAAATTGGGAGATCAAATGGTTTTTACGGCAATAGGTGAAGTAAAATGGGCCGAGTTTTAACGTTGTTTGTATTTGATTAATCTCATCATTAGAACACATTTTATCAATAACAAATTATTAGAATTAGTTTTTTGTAACTTTTAAATATACTTGCATGCTTTAGCTGTGAAAGGTATCGGCATTATCCATTAGAAAAATCGTGAGGCGTAGAACCTTTTACACAACAATACGGGTTATTACCCATAAATCCATCGGATTAATCGGCTTTCCGGTGGCCACGTCATTTCATTGGCTGTTATATAGACTCTACTAGAGTTGCGAATCTCTTGTATTATATGTCTCTGGTTGAAGAGCAATGAAAACCAAATATTCCATAAAATTTTGCAAGGGAGCAGAGAAACATGTTATTAACGGTAAATGTACAGAGCATGACTGTATGAACGATACTATATAAAAATAAGGAGATGTGGTATGATTGCCAATAAGACAACCATCCACCAAAGTTAAAATCAACCGTCTCTGGCGGAACAAAATTTTAACATGGACAACAGTTAAAACTTTTTTTTTTAAATAACTATAAATGAAATTAAGTTGAAAGTGTACCTCAGATTTCGAAGAACTTAATAAGTTGTCATTTATTACAAAGTTTCGAATTTAAATGTATGAAAGACTGCCTAATCCGTAGGGCTTTTTACCTTTATGCAATAAGATTCGTGTATGAAGGAAAAGTAATGATGAAACATAACTGAACCATGTCGAACATGAACTTAACCATAACACCACCGAACCAAACCATGACATTGAATTGTCAGTAATTTTAAGTTATGTGCAAAAGTGGATAATTTTTACATATGTACGAGCAAGCGAGTTAATTTAGGTCTGAATTTTAATCTAATTGTGTAACGTGGTTTTTCGTGTTCTTTTGATGAAAATTCGAACAGGCTAAACGTTATGATTTTTTTGTATCAATTTGCATGATCTTGCATGTGATAGCTCCATACTTATTTTGGCTAACAGATTATAATCCCAAACTATACACAGACAAGCTATTGCGTTATCATGTATATTATTTTTATAAAATATTTTATTATAGTGTAGCAGGATCAATTCCTGCTGGGGATTTGGTGATGCGGACCACAGCTTATGCTAACTTTTGACTGAATGACGATGGACGCCAATGTAATAACGCTTAAATAATTAAAACTGAATGACGATGGACGCCAATGTAATAACGCTCAAATAATTAAAACTGAATGACGATGGACGCCAATGTAATAACGCTTAAATAATCAAAACTAAATGAAACAAAAACAGCATAATCAAAATATATAATTTACTTTCCAAATACAACTTGTAGCCAGTCCTCAGACAATTTGACACTACTACTAGGATACCCCGGGTGTTTAACGACCTTGACTACCCATGAGGGTCTCGCTTGGTCGGTCATAACAATTTGACATATATATGGAAGTTTTTAACGACCTTGACTGGCTATACAGCCCTTGCACGGTCGGGTATTTTTGACAATTTGACACAGTTAGCTGAATACATTATATAAAATTTCAAAGCTTCCAAATTTTTGTCATTAATTAATGTTCTGAATTTTTTCAGAATAAGATAAATTAATTTCTGAATATAGATAAATTATATCCACCAACGTCGAATCAATGTGACTAATTTGTAATGATTTAACATTATACGAAATATGTATCAGTAAAAGTTAAACAATGAGACTGCTCAAGGGAGAAAACAAAGCCAATCTCCTACACTCCTCCTCCCTTACGAAAACAAATAAATATGAAATAACATTCGACAACAAAATTAAACAGGTGTCTATTAATGTTTATTAGATAAAATGTCTATTCAATATTACTTTTAAAAAACGTCACTGTATAACACAAAAGCAAAACAAACATCAGAATCAGGTTTATCTGATTAACGGATGTGACTTTCAGCGGTACTACGAATATCCTTACGGAACAGCTAATGTTGAAATCCATGAAAAGTTGTACCAGGCAATTTCAACCAATGTTGATCTCACAGTGGCACATTTGGCGTGTACCACCGGGTTCTATTGCTGCACTTCAACGTTGCTGACAACGGCAACACAGATGTTGTGCCACCGGAGATGGATCTGGTCCATCTGTATGCAAGGTTCTCAAAATAAAGTTGGAAGATGTCCAAATTTTGCACAAGGTACCAAATAATGGATCAGTTCCATCTGTATGGGCTAGAAGTGTTCCTAACTTCAAGCTTAGCGTTCCGAATGACTCTATTGGTTTCTGCCATGGCTTACAAAAGTAAAAAAGTCGGACTTCCATAAACTCTCTAAATACTAAATATTTAGCAAGAGATTACAATCTAGACAAATTAGCAACAACTAATAAAACATACTAATTCCTACTAATACTAGTTAACGGCCTACACTTTAAACCACACCAGCCATAATTATAGTAATACTAGTTAACGGCCTACACTTTAAACCACACCAGCCATAATTATAGTAATACTAGTTAACGGCCTACACTTTAAACCACACCAGCCATAATTATAGTAATACTAGTTAACGGCCTACACTTTAAACCACACCAGCCATAATTATAGTAATAGAGCTGAGAAATTATAACAAGATGATATGCACGGCACCCCTCAATTGGAAATAGAAAAACCAAACAGCCTAACTGTGGTGTGTGACATCTCTATTGAAATAAACCTAGAGTAAAACTATAAATACAACACAATGTAAAAACAAACATTAAACATCATTCTTTAATAAGTCGTCTATCACGGGATTTAATAATTCGACGAGACTAGTGCATCATGTGCTATGTTTATTATGCATTATACTGATAGGAAATCAAACGAAACATTTGCACATTTATAACCCTACTGAGTTCTTAAGGGAATGAAAGATAACGGCTCATTTTGTCAAAAACATGATAACACGCTCGTTGGTCATTTATCTGCGCTACCACCATGGGGTTAATTAACAGATACTTGTTTATTTTGCGGCATCGCAGTATTAACAATTGAGGTCAATTTCCTATCACTATAATTGGTCTATTTTATTAGCGAATCGTTAAATTTGTAAGACTCGTCCAATTAATGCCAATGTGACAATGGCTCCAACCCGTTCCTTCGGTGCGAAGCTATAGATGGAACGGCGGACCAGTTTAGGCTCTATTCTTCACGATATTAATACATGATAAATCCTTCGTACCCCATAATTAAAGCAGCACCATATTCAATTACAGACCAGACTAGTGAATCAAAAAGTTTTGTAAATGCGGAGTAATGAAAACCTCCATTTGCTTTACACTTGGATATTAACAACCCTAATATATACACATCTAAATCTGAAAAATTATCAGGATAAGATTTATGAGCTAGAATCTTAAAACGCTGACCAAATTTAGAAATTGTTTCGTTTTCCTTCAAACTAAAAACTCTTATGTGAAATTTAGAATATGTCAGCCTCTCCTTAGGATTGAACATCTGAATGAGAACATTTTTCAAGCAGTCATAATCATACAACTGTGGTCTTTGTAGGAAACGTTAAACAATTAAAGCTTAGCATCACCTCTCCAAATCATTATCAACTGACATACCATCTCAAAGTAATTTCACTGATTCCAAATACTAATATATAAATTTCAAAGCTTCCAAATTTTGGTCAGTTATATTTAAAAAAAAAAATCAAAACAAGATAAATGAATTTCTGAATATTAATAAATATTTTTTTATGAATAATTATAATTACCAAAGTCGAATAAATGTGACTTATTTGTAATGATTTAACACAGGCACAAGTGCCTGTGTGATTTAACATTATACGAAATATTTTTCAGTAAAAGTTAAATGACAACAAATCCAATCCGCTACACTAGCAATGATTGATTGATTGTTTGGTGTTAAACGCCACTTTCAGACTTTCGTGTTATTTCGTGACAGTCAGTTTTTATTGGTAGAGGAAGCCGGAGTGCCCGGAGAGAACCACCACCTTCGGTAGGAAGCCTAACAATCCTAGTCAATTAAGATTGGAGTCGAGCTCACCTGTCGCGTGCGGGATTCCCGCGAACTCACAACAACACTAGCAATGAATCTACTATATTAAGCTAAACTGGAATCCGCTGCTTGTATTTAAAGTAGTAGTAGTCAGCAAATAATATTACACCTGAACATTGTTGTATAAAATAAGGGTTAGAAACTATTGAGTCGGGTCGCAGTAATTATTTTTGCATGTCCTTTTGGGTCGGAAGTAAACAAACTCGCGGGAATATGCAATCGACAGCAAAAATATCATGCCAGAAAATAGAAAAAAATAGGTGATATGGAATATACTTCAAGATGAATTATGGATGAGGAAGATTTTGAATACATACCTTTAATGAAAAAGAAGAAAAAGGTTAAAAAATATACTGTTTATTAACCCGAACTAGATTTGCTTTATTTATTTCGTCTGCTTTCTTCTTCTTCTTATGGTATCCAGTTATCCATCAGATTTTTGATGATTACTAACTGTTGCGCATGCGTAGGATAATAATAAATAAATATTTACAAAAGAATAGTGCCAAAAATAAACAAATACTAACATGACATGTGGTTAAAACTATATACATAACTACTAGGTTTACTGTTCTATATTGTAGAGAACAGTAGGTGTCAACTGTCATGACTGTTCTCTAAAAATATTTAGAGTGGGAGAAAGTACTACCTTTGGAGGTAGTACATTCCATTGTGTAATAGTAAACGGAAAAAATGAATATTTGTAGCAGTCTTTAAATGTAAGTAGGTGTCTGTAAGTTTGTGGATGAATTTGTCGGGTTCTATTGTCTGTTGGTATGAGTAATTCTGATGGTACAGTGACAATATGGTGAACAATTTTATAGAACATTATAAGTCTAGTTTTAAGTCTGCGTTATTGTAAGGTAGGCCAATTTAGAGTATTGAGCATGTCTGTAACGCTACTGGTGTTGTGATAACGATTACAGGCATACCTAGCAGCCCGACGTTGAACCATCTCAAGTTTATTGCATTGTTCAGCAGTAGGAGGGTTTCAAACCGAACAAGCATATTCTAGTTTTGGTCGGACAAGTGCTAGGTACGCCTGAGACTTAATGTTTGTGATGGATGTTTTTAGATTTCTTTTTAGAAAGCCTAGGCTTTTATTAGCATTACCAATGATGTTGTTTGTATGCTGGGTCCATTTTAAGTCGGATTGCAGTGTTATACCAAGATATTTAGCGGAGGAGACAGATTCTAGGGTATGGCTGTGAAGGATGTAGTCGTGTTTAATTGTATTTTTCTTGTTTGAGGCAGTGAGAACTGTACATTTGTCAGGATGGAAAGCCATCAGCCAGTCTTCTTCCCACTTTGCAGCAGCATCAAGATCTTCCTGAAGGCTATCACAATCTTTTTTAGATTTGATGCTTTTGTAAATGATGCTGTCGTCTGCGAACAGTCTGAGTTTACTGGATTTCAAATATTCTGGTAGGTCGTTTATATATACCAGGAATAGAACGGGACCCAGAACTGTTCCCTGTGGGACACCAGAAGTAACTGGAGCAACATCTGATGACTCTCCATCCAGGACAACTGTTTGTGTGCGGTTGGATAAAAAGGCAGAGATCCAGTTAAGTGTTTCATTTTGTATACCATAGAAATGTAGTTTATATAAGAGTCTTTGATGTGGGACTTTGTCAAAGGCTTTGGCAAAGTCCATAATTATAAGGTCTGTTTGGGTGCTATTGTCTGAATTTGAAGCTAGTTCTTGTATGAAAGATAGAAGTTGTGTTTCACATGATCTAGAGTGTCTGAAGCCGTGCTGGAGGTCGTATAATAGGTTGTTTTTTTCTAAGTGGTTAATTAAGTGTTTTGTTATGACGTGTTCCATTAGTTTGCAACTGATTGCATGTGCTTATAATCTTTACTTGTTTGTGCTTTGCTTTTATATATGAACATTTTGCTTAATGCTATATAGCTGTCTTACTTTGCATGTCTAATAATATGTATGTCCTATATGTCTTCTTCTACTTCTACTTCTACCATTTTGCAGCCACCGTCAATAAACTGATTATTTTGCCACTTTTGGATGCGCATGTAAATATTTTAGATAAAAATATGTGAAAATTGTTGTGCTATACATTCTATATGCAGTGAGGTTAATCCTGGACGGTGGTCCAAATTGTCTCATGTAGATCAGTCTTGAAACTTTCAAGTCTACCTGCACTGGTGGAGGTGAGTGACAGTGCGTTCCAGTCCCTTATTGTTCTTGGATAGAACGATTCTTTCCTCACTTCTGTTCTACATGTTGGTAATGTGAAACCATTGCTGTTTAAGTTACGGGATATTTTGTGTGGCCATGCAATTTGTACTCTCTAACAATAGGTTTGCGTTTTCTTGTAATTGTTAGTACATTGCATTTATCAGGATGAAAGGCCATGCATTTTCCATTTTGTTTCCCAGATTGCAAGTTTGTTGAGGTCTTCTTGTAGGTTCACACTGTCTGCGTCTGATGCAATGGTCAGATAAACTATGGTGTCATCTGCAAAGAGTCTAACCCTTGAGCGAATACCTTCTGGCATGTCGTTTATGTAGAAGAGGAACAAACTGGGTCCAAGTACAGAGCCTTGTGGGACGCCTGATTCTACATTGATTGTGTCAGATTTTTCCCCTTCTACAACTACCACTTGTTTCCTGTCAGAAAGGAAATTTTGTATCCATTTGTTGGTTTTACCTCTGATGCCATAGTGATCCAGTTTGTGTATTAGTAAACTGTGACTTACTTTATCGAAGGCCTTTGAAAAATCCATAATTAGGCAGTCTGTTTGTTTCCCTGCATCCATGTTTATGGTGATGTCATTTATGAAGTCTATCAGTTGTGTTTCGCAGGATAGGCCTCTCCTGAATCCATGTTGTAATGGGTAAAGTATATCATGTTTGTCAGCATGGGTCATTATGTGGCTTGTTACAATGTGCTCCATGATTTTACAGCAATAAGTGAGACTGGACGGTAGTTTATTGCGTCAAACCGTTTTACCTTCTTGAATATTGGACTTACGTTTGCTCTTTTCCAAATATCTGGTAAGTCACCTGTTTCATAGGACTGCCTGAAGATAGTTGTTAATATTGGCGCAATATCTGATGAAAGTTCTTTTAGTACCCTTAATGTTATAGAGTCTGGTCCAGCAGCCTTATATGGGTTCAGATTTGATAATAATTTTATTATGCCATTTTCAGTGATGTTTAAGTCCTGTAGTGAAGGGTAAAGTTCATTTGTCATGTTGCAACGGTCTTTAAATTCAGTGTTTGTGAAATTTATTTTATCTGAAAAAGCTGATTGAAACTGCTTATTTAAGATGTTTGCCTTTTCAACTGGGTCTGGATGGAGTAGCCCATTACTCGTAAAGGTGGTATTTGATTTCCATCTGATCTTTTGTGTTTGATGAATGTCCAGAAACGCTTCATACAGTTTGGTTTTTTGTCTTTATTTGGATCTGGTGTTATAATGTCCTCTATGTATTTCCAGTATGCCCGTCTGATTTCTCTCTGCACCAGTCTTTTTAGTTCCTTGTATTTGCTGTTGTCCTTTGGATCAGCTGATTTCTTTTTTTTCTTGTAGTGTTTGTCCTGTTTTCGAATTCTTAATATTGTATGTGTTGTTATTGTTATTAATGTCGGCAAAATGCTCTACAGAGCTTATATGTTTGTAATGTTCATGAAACCCAGACTTAAAATGAATTTTTTTATTCTATTCTATTCTATTCTGTAGGTGTAGGCAGTCAGGGGTACTGCTTACAAAAGTGATTTCAGAATCGCCTTTTAAAGTGATTTCAGCATTTAAAAATTGAAAATTTTCACAAAAATGTACACAGACATTTTAAAATCACTGAAACAAGTAATTTGAGAAGTAAAACTGCAAACACTTCAGTAAGTCTGACAGGGTCTTGGGGACAGTCTGATTATACCCATTTTACTTATTGTGGGTTATTGTCTAATGGACGTAAAACCCTCAACATTATTATCTAGGAATAGATAATAGTCCCAGGAATTTTATACCATAATTTATAGCTCATTTATTTTACTATGTGCACTAAATTATGAAAACAATAATCTTGTCAATAATTTCATAAACACCTATTGACAAATGATTACAAAGTCAAACCAGATTAAACGACAGTACATGTATTTAGTAATCGCAAAGAAAACATTGTTAATGATTAACAAAAGGGTGATGATTATAACTTACTGATAAGGTTAACCATTCTCAAGGGTCACCACAGAGTGCAACAATTTGTTCTTATTTAGAAATATCTTGTCAACCTTTTCTGGCCAGAGTTGGTTTCTCCACTTTGTTTCATAACTAACAGTGTTGCAAATGAAAATATTTGCTCTTACGGTATAGACGTGGTGGAATGACTAAGACAAGCGTAGGAAAGCTGCTCACGTGCATAGCCAACCTCTTTTTGGAGGAATTTTAAATGACAAGTGCAAACATTCAAACATATTTTGAATTTGATTAATCAAAGGTTACTATTTAATTTCCCCAAGAGATGCTCTCAATAAAAATCAATTTTATTAAAAGAAGACAATGACAATCTACTAGGAAACCAATTAGTCGAGTATAATTTTGGTATTAGATCCACAGTATTACCAAGCAATACTCCAAGTACTCATTGACATCCCTACTAGAAATTGATACCTGTTTTGGAGTATACTGATGCACACAAAATGCTTCATATTTAAGTTGTGTTCACAATCATGTTTTTACAACCCTGTAAAACTACAGAAAGATGCATTCAATTCTAATGATTACATTGAAATTGTACAACCATAGAATTACAAATTATATCAAGCTTTTTGTTTGTTTTCGTATGCATTGTTTTTTTTTGTATTGCATTGTTGCAAAGTTTATGAAAAGCATGTGCACTTGTGCAATCCTGAATGTTGCATTTTTTTTAGAAACTAAATATGATCTTGAATCGCCTTACGATTGTTTTTACCCAATAAAAAGTACGGATTCTTATCAAACATACATGTACTGTAAATTCAGAAATTATTGCATGCATTTATTAATGCAATTTTTGAAAAAAAGACAAAAATGCAAGATTAAATTATTGTGATTTCAAGGAAATCTCCGTACAGACATATATATCAGATATCAGAATGCAAGTATTTATTATTGTGATTTCAAGGAAATCTCCGTACAGACATACATGTATGTATCAGATATCAGAATGCAAGTATTTATTATTGTGATTTCAAGGAAATCTCCGTACAGACATATGTATCAGATATCAGAATGCGAGTATGTATCATTGTGATTTCAAGGAAATCTCCGTACAGACATATGTATCAGATATCAGAATGCAAGTATTTATTATTGTGATTTCAAGGAAATCTCCGTACAGACATATGTATCAGATATCAGAATGCAAGTATTTATTATTGTGATTTCAAGGAAATCTCCGTGCAGACATATGTATCAGATATCAGAATGCAAGTATTTATTATATTATTGTGATTTCAAGGAAATCTCCATACAGACATATGTATCAGATATCAGAATGCAAGTATTTATTATTGATTTCAAGGAAATCTCCGTACAGACATATGTATCAGATATCAGAATGCAAGTATTTATTATTGTGATTTCAAGGAAATCTCCGTACAGACATATGTATCAGATATCAGAATGCTAGTGTGTATCATTGTGATTTCAAGGAAATCTCCGTACAGACATATGTATCAGATATCAGAATGCAAGTATTTATTATTGTGATTTCAAGGAAATCTCCGTACAGACATATGTATCAGATATCAGAATGCAAGTATTTAATATTGTGATTTCAAGGAAATCTCCGTGCAGACATATGTATCAGATGTCAGAATGCAAGTATTTATTATATTATTGTGATTTCAAGGAAATCTCCATACAGACATATGTATCAGATATCAGAATGCAAGTATTTATTATTGATTTCAAGGAAATCTCCGTACAGACATATGTATCAGATATCAGAATGCAAGTATTTATTATTGTGATTTCAAGGAAATCTCCGTACAGACATATGTATCAGATATCAGAATGCAAGTATTTATTTTTGTGATTTCAAGGTAATCTCCGTACAGACATATGTATCAGATATCAGAATGCTAGTATTTATTATTGTGATTTCAAGGAAATCTCTGTACAGACATATGTATCAGATATCAGAATGCAAGTATTTATTATTGTGATTTCAAGGAAATCTCTGTACAGACATATGTATCAGATATCAGAATGCAAGTATTTATTATTGTGATTTCAAGGAAATCTCCGTACAGACATATGTATCAGATATCAGAATGCTAGTATTTATTATTGTGATGCTCACACAATCACATTTTTTGCATTTATAAAAACCTCGTTATAATTAAATTTCTGAATTTACAGTATTATATTTTTTTGTTAAGGATGTTAAACATGAAGTTGTGGTCACTCACATCAACTTAAAACATACTTAGTACACATGGTCATTGTCAGGTTCACTTTTAAAATTATTTGATGAATTATGATTTTGGCCCTGATTTCCCAGTGCACTGAACTTTGACACATACTGTGAGCTGGGGATGACTTCCTATAGGCACATATTTTTGTTTCTGAACTTTTTCACATTTTTCAGAATTTGGTCACAGAAGACAAAAAGAAAAAGGAAGAAAACACAAAAAAATTATCAAGAAATCAAAAAAGAGACAAGAATAAGGCTCAAAATAAGGTAGAGTCCACTCCTTCAAAATCTCAGGGAACCACTAGACAGAAGAGAAAGACACCGAAGAGCAAAACTCCAAAAAGAGAAAGAAAGAAGTATGATGGATATTGTCCTGCTTGTCAGATGCCATTTTCTGCCTTAGTGATAGAAACTCCTACCTGGCATGCATCAGAATGTATAGATAACTATAAACCTGAATCAGGTATTGATAAACTATATACTTAGTGATAGAAACTCCTACCTGGCATGCATCAGAATGTATAGATAACTATAAACCTGAATCAGGTACTGGTATTGATAAACTATATACTTAGTGATAGAAACTACCACCTGGCATGCATCAGAATGTATAGATAACTATAAACCTGAATCAGGTACTGGTATTGATAAACTATATACTTAGTGATAGAAACTTCTACCTGGCATGCATCAGAATGTATGGATAACTAGCTATAAACCTGAATCAGGTATTGATAAACTATATACTTAGTGATAGAAACTTCTACCTGGCATGCATCAGAATGTATGGATAACTATAAACCTGAATCAGGTACTGGTATTGATAAACTATATACTTAGTGATAGAAACTTCTACCTGGCATGCATCAGAATGTATAGATAACTATAAACCTGAATCAGGTACTGGTATTGATAAACTATATACTTAGTGATAGAAACTTCTACCTGGCATGCATCAGAATGTATGGATAACTAGCTATAAACCTGAATCAGGTATTGATAAACTATATACTTAGTGATAGAAACTTCTACCTGGCATGCATCAGAATGTATAGATAACTATAAACCTGAATCAGGTACTGGTATTGATAAAAACTTTTTACTGTAGATTCATTATTATTCATGGGATACCAATTTTGTGGATTTCTTTGGTAACAAACAGTAAACCATGAATTTAAATGATCAACACCAACAGGTACACATTTTCTATATACATTGTAATTATGCTTGTACAAAATGTATGCTGATGATGGCTAAATCCTGAAATCATATATCTACGAAAGTAAAACTTTTTGTCTATCAAAAAAAATTGGTATCCATGAAAATAAATTAACAGGAGTTAAATCTACATCTTTTGGTCTCATTGGCAATCAAACCACATCTTCTTATATTCATGAATAGAAGCTAAAGATTAAGAAGAGTCATTTTTGGAGAAGTTTATAATTTCTATTTTTAAGATTTATTGTATTACTTGGGGGAGATTAGGGCAATCTTTAAATGTTACAAGCTGCCCTTTACCTATAGTTTTGTTCTTTTCTGTGCAGTTTTGCTACCTATGATGTCACTCAATTTGGCTTATCAGTAGCCGTGTTTTTAGCAGAACATTCAGGTGTACCCCTGTAGTTTTAAGAGCTAATTTCTTTATTCCAGTAAAACAAAAGATAAAGTAGCCAAATGTTTGTAGTCTTATTAAGTTTCTATGGCCCTGTTTATTTCCAGTGTTGAGAAGCAGTAGATGTATACATGTATGCTGTCATTTATATTATAGAATGTTCTGAAGGAGCAGACTGTGATTGTACAATACAAAGCCATTTTTGGAGGTTTAGTCATAAACAGTTGGCCGAATACAGACAAAGAAAAACAAGAGCTGACCAGATAGGTAAAGAAGAATTATTTGTTTACAGAGACGGTCTAGGACATTTATTCATTTTTTTTTAATGAAAAATTAACAGAGCCAGGTTATTTCATTGAATGGGATGATATGAACAGACTGCACAATTATTTCGATAGATATGCAGACTAATAGAGCAAAACTGAACACATATATACAACATACTAGAAAAAATAATCAATTTGCTTATAAAAATATGAGAGCATATATTGACCCAAACTCGAAACGAAAAAAAAAATCACAAGCTTGGAGCAAATGTTATGCACTGTGAATGTAAATATTCTTTACTTATTTGCAAACAGTCTGATACACATAAAATTCATAAATAGCTTCAGAAACATGGAGAGTTGTCTCATTGGCACTCATACCACATCTTCTTATATCTATCAATCTGTCTTTGTTTCATATTGTGACCCGATTCTGTAATATAAGTAGACATGCTTGTAAGTTTGTGAACTTTGTCTTGGAAAGTGGTTTTTATGTGCAACAATATATAGGTCAGGCCTTTTGTATTATTTATTTGAACATTACAGAATAAATTTGAGATCGAATAACAAATAGATATCTTGAAGAAAAAAAATTGGGACTTAATATCTTTGGTATACTCCCTACAACAATTATTCCAATTTCTACATGTGACTTCCAATGGTCAATTGACAAGTCCAGAACTATAACAATGCTCAAAATGTCATTTATGCATCAAAGTATTTTTTTATTCAATTTGCATTCAATGGCATGTGATTAATTTACTCTGTACAAGCCAATATTCAGCAGGTTTTGTTTTATCAAACCATTTTCTGATCTAAATAAATCTGCATACTTAAAGACTTGTTAAAAATGCTTTTTTATTCTTGGCCCTATGAGAAAAAAGAGTGCCACATGACCTAAAAATAGATGATGACTCATTGTTGAGATGTCAATAACAAATTGCGAAAGGGATTTTTCCAAGAATTCAATGAAATTTTAGTAGAGGAATAAAACAGTAGTAATGGAAACAGATGTTTAAACAAATAATATGCAACAACATCCACAACTTATCTCTTTCATGCCAATATTAGTGAAAATGCAATGAAAAATATATGGTTACAGTGGAGTCCCCGGTGTCCGCACAGCCGGTGATATCGCGCATTAGCTGATTTCCTAATATCAACACAGTAACACAATTAAAATCGTTCTAGTTATTGTTTTAACCTTCCGAAGGGATAAAAAAGAATAAAACTGATAAGTTCAAGAGTTAATTAATAACTGCAATCCCGTGATTTACAATATTTGGCCAATTTCCATTAAAAATTTCATCATCAGATAAAATTTGTTTTATTTCAGAAAAATTTATATCAAACGGAAATTATTTTTGCTGTGCATCCTTGGCATTGTGTTTGGTTCAAATTCAGCTATATTTCGTAGTGTCAAATCTTTCCTGTATTCAAAATAAGCTATTTTTGGAAAGCATGCGCGAAATCACCGAACATCGGAGGAACCCTCAGAACAGGGGTTTCCCTAATTTTGGACACACATTACACAAAATCTTGAGGGTGAAACCATACAAACAGAAGATTTTATGAAATAAAAGTATGTTATGAATGTGATCACACACTATTATTCAACTATTGATTTTATCAGTTGAATGAAGTGAAGTCATAAGTCTTAGGTGCGCGGATCCACCGGACTGCACCGTAAGTCTTTTATAAAGTAGCACATTGCCGATGATAAATACTTGTGCATGACGTTAGGAGTAGTAAAGTGGACATCCCAAATGTCACAATCTTTGAAGCATAAGGAACTTGCAATCATGGATGCTACACTAAAGCATGTGGAAACTAACTAAAGTCTCTACTCAGCACAATGAACAAACTCTATGTCAATGTTGTGGAAAATGAACCCATTATGCTACAAAATTTGTGAAGTGTTGTTATATTGCTTTCTTTTCTGTCAATTGATATCTGATATCTGTCATATACTTACTTCCTGTTAATTCCTAAATGACCGACATTTTGAATCTCAATATTATTGAATGATTGGAGGAAAAAAAACAACGACTTCATTTCAAGTCACATGATCAGTTGAAATGTTTGTGCACTTTTCAGAACTGTCAGACAATTTATTTCCGTTTTAGATACTTAGAATTACAAGTGTGGAATTGCTTAGCACTACAACATTGTACAACACATGCATTCTTGTTTTGTTTTTACCCATTATAACTGCTATATATGTTTCTTCTTTAAATGAAGCATGTAACACATGTAACACATGTAACACATGTACACATGTACACATTTAATCTCAGTTACTTTCTATTACAGAAAAACAAAAGAAAGGCAAAACTAGACTTAACTTTAAAGGAAGTCAAACTTGTTCAGAAACACATTTTGAATTGTCTGAAAGTGCAAAGAGCAGTAGCTTATCTATTGAAAATAGATCTACCTCATCACAAATTGTCACAAACAATACCTCTAGTAACTCACAAGTAGTCATTAATATATGTAGTCCATCTAAACCTCGGTCATCACATGACGACACTGAGGATACTGTTGCAGTCACAAACAATACCTCAAGTCACTCCCCAGAAGTCATGAATATATGTAGTCCATCTAAATCTAAGTCTTCACAAGATGTCACAAACAATACCTCTAATAACTCCCAAGCAGTCATAAACAAATGTAGTCCATCTAATTCCAAGTCATCACAAGATGTTTTAGAAGATGATGGCGAAGTGAAAAGTCCAAGAGATTTAACAAGTTATCTTGAAGAGGCATTCAAAGAGGCAACATATTGTTCTCAGAAAAGTGAAAATGATTTGATAACCTGTGATGAACCGCTAGAATCGTTAGAACAATGTGAACATGATATGATAACCTGTGATGAACGGCTAGAATCGTTGGAACAATGTGAACATGATATGCCAACAAGTGGAAGTCAGCATGTGAAATCTGAAAAAGAAAAACAAATTGGTGTCGATTCTGGAGATGAAGATTCTCATCTCAGCCAACAACTCTTTGAAGACGATGAAAATGAAATAGTGCAAAGTGGAAAATCTGTATCTGATATTGATGCCAGTGAAGACAGTAATTCTCAGTCAAAGTCTTTTTTTGCCAATTACAGGAGAAGGATGGAAAGTGTAGAAAACACCAATTCTAATGACTCAGAAAAATCACAAAAGTTTTGGAAACAAAGCTGTAAAAAAGAGTATAAGATTGTGAATAGTAAGTTGACATGTCAAAATTCTGAAAAACTAAAATTTGAGGGAAACGAATTTGCTGATAAGCACCCAAGTGATGTAGAATTCAGTAATAATGAAATGACAAGTAAGCTTTCTACTGATACAGATCTTTGTAGTAATGAGCAGAAAGACAAACATTTAGATGATTTAGTCGTACTAGATACAGACGACACTGATAGTGATGTGCAATATATTTCAACCTGTGATATTAAAAAATCTGATAGTGTTCCTTCCTCTCAGGGATCAATAAATTCTGCTACAATGACTCGGACAAAAAGTGGAAAAAAGTCTAAAGTTGTTAATGTAATCATGGTAATGGGATCAAATAAAAAATCTAAATTATTAAAACAACAATCTGATATAAAAAATCAGCCATCTTTGTTATCGTTCTTTTCAGGATCAAGGACAAACAAAGGGTCGAAAGATAAGACAAATACAAACACCAGCAATAATAATATTCCAAATAGTTCTAACAATTCTTTGAGTATTAAGAGTAAATTAAATGGAGCTATTCCTAGTCAGCTGTCCAGTACAGAATCATGTGACAATGTTGTTAGAGAGAAGAATTTAAACGAAGTTTTAATGAATTCTATGAAAAAGTCAGCATCAGAACCTTGTATAGACTTGGGCGCTACCTCAAAAGATTTTAAATCAGCATTAGTGAAAAATGCAACTGATATTTTAATGAGTTCAGTTAATAGCAAACATGTCAAAGAAAAAGAGTCACTTCCGAGGACCAGAAAAATTATAACTAAAGATGACAAAGAGCTACAAAATGTACTTGGTATTGAGAATAGTGGTAAAGGAAACCAGTCAACAAAACCAGTTAGAAATTGTCCATTTTACAAAAAAATACCAGGTTTGACATTAACATTAATTGGAATTTACTGACATTTAATAGCATTATACTATATACATGATATAAGTCAGTTACATGGAAATTTTCTATTATCAGGTTTCATGCATCTAACATGTTTAATGGAAATATAACTACCCTGTTTATTTTTCAATTGGGTGCATGCACTGAGGGGAATCCAGTCTATTTAAGCTTCTGTTTTATTTGAAGTTAAAATGGTTTCTACTGGGGTTAAACTTGTTCTCATGCTCAATATAATTGTGTCATTTATCATGAACATAACTGTAAAAAAAGATGTGGTATGATTCATAAAGAGACAACACTCCACCAGAGACCAAATGAGGTTAACAATTTATTTTTCAATTAAGAAAAAGGATTCATACATATGTATTTTTATTAGAAAAATATGAAAAAAAGATATCTTGGATATAAAAAATTGAATAAAATAATAAGAATTATTATTTTGAAAAGGTTAACTATACTGCTATATGTGCTATGATTGCTATCACTTCAATTAAAATCATCTAAACTAAGTTAATAACATCTCTTAACATTGAGACCACTCTGTGTATATTACTGCTGCCATCATTTAAAATAAATTGCATGATGCAGTGTTTTATTTATTAAACTTATAATAAATGTTATACAGTCGTTACATTTATGAACATGATTCAGTTTCAAATTGTTGATAAAGGATTTTTGTTATTCCAATATCCAAGGACTTTTGTTATTCCAATATCCAAAGACTGTTGTTTTTTCCAATATCCAAGGACTTTTGTTATTCCAATATCCAAGGATTAACATTTTATGTTTAACATGTATGAACATATAAATTGATTTATTTTATTTCATAGAAACAGGATTCACAGTAGATGCCTTCTGTTATGGCAATGTCCCAGGATGCAAAGCTTATTTCCTGTCACATTTTCACTATGACCATTACAGAGGACTTACCAAAAAATTTTCCAGTCCAATTTACTGTAGCAAGGTATTTATTGATTTATGTCTGAATAACAATATATAGTCAGGGTTTCAGCTAGGATTTTGAGGGCTTTAGTCACTTTTGCGCAATATGAAAATCAACCTTGTTTTGGGTAACAGCAAGGGATCAAGGACGTATATTACTAGCTATGCATATACCTAAGTCCTTCAATGACTAGGATCTTTGAAGGCCTTAGGCATGGTACAAATGTTTTGCAGTTACTGCATGATTTGACTGATGTAATGCTTAAATATGAAGATAAGACCATGGATCTGGAAATCTAGTTCACAATTTCACTTCAGTTATTTTCAGGGGACATTCCTGATCAACAAAAGTTGGGTGCCTCTTTTTTAAAACCACAGTATAGCTGAACTTGTAACGACTTTTTCACTGCATAATCATTATTCTTGTTAATACATTTAAATCGATATTTGGAATTCATTTCTTTAAAGTTGGAAACAAGGATTTGTAACAATCCTTATTGGAACGATTCTAATGACTAAATTGTAAATTAATCGAGAAAAGATCATGTTAACTTTCGATTTTTAAACGAAATGAAACGGGAAGTGACAAGTGGATAATAAATTCAGAATGAATCCGGATTCATCTACGGATTAGTTCGTGTTTAACAAAAGGCAGGAAATTATCATTTTTTAAAATAAGGTTGCTTAGTAAGAAATATATTTGTCTCTCTCGTTTAATTTGATACTAAATGATTTCGTATTTTAAGTTTTAGTGTCTATAAATTTATATGAATACTTTCACGCATGCGCAGTACATAGTAAAGGAAGCACCTGTTTGACTCGTGAAAATATTTCTGAACGTTTTGAATAAAGTTCCATCTTTTTAATCGAAATTGTCGAAAGGTTTTGATGAAAAGTTATATCAAACATGACGAAAATATGTTCATTTTACGAAACTACGACAAACGAACTGCAAAATGTGATCGTTGGGAATTAAAATGCGAACTGTCCGGGGGAAAACAATTTTGTTCAAATGACGAAACTTTGATAAACGAACTGCAAATTGTGATCGTTTGACAAATATTGAAATTGAAATGCCTACTGACTGATTTTACTAGGATAAATAATTATGATGGTCAATTACGAGGTTTATTAATAATTAACGGATTATTGACCCATCTGATGGCGATCAGCGGATTACCTGTAATCACAACTTTTAACACCTGTTGTAAACTTTAATTAGCTGAGGGTCATAAACTTGTCAGAAACATGAAGACAGGTAGAATTATAGTATTTTCATGCAAAAATATTTTACACTTTCCTAATTTAGTGACGAAATTGATTTGAAATACTTTCGTCATTTTGAAAACTGTTTCGTAAATAACGAAAATGACGAGCGCTAGCAAAATCACTGATATAGTTTAATTTCTGAATGAATTTTGGTTTCGATTAAGGACGTCCGTCTTATTCATTTGTGGAATTAAATACTAGAAATTAGTTGAAATCTGTCAAATGTCTTTTTTTGTGCTAATTTATCTGTTTAGAAATAAACCTTAATATTGCTCAACCCTCATAAGACACAAATAGAGAGCTGTGATTTTTGTCTCGCCTGTTGCAGTATGCAAATGATTTTGGTATAATTATCCGGTGGTGGCGGCGTAAACTATTTGAATAAAGCTTTACATTAGAGGAGGTAGAAGACCTGGATGCTTCATATCTTGTATGCAGATACCTTATGTTACAAAGTTTCCGTCTGTCATATGTCTATTGTCCTTGATCTCATTTTCATGGTTAAGCGACTGCTTGAAAACAAATTATAGTTTTTTTGTCATATGAGTTTCTCACTTATTATGAGTAATAGGATATCTATATTTGGTATATGGGTTCATCTACATGTCTGCCAGACGGGGTTCACCTGACCTCAACCTCATTTCACATATCAGTGATCAAGGTTAAAGTTACATGATTAGGTCCGTTTCTCACATTGAATGATTGTAATGGATACATGTCAGTCTTGCAGGTGTCATCTGACCTTGACCTCATTTTCATGGTTCATTGGTTAATGTTAAATTTTTATACGACCGCAAAAATTAAAAATTTTTTGGTCGTATATTGGTATGACGTTGGCGTCGTCGTCGTCGTCGTCCGGCGTCGTCCGAAAACACATTGGTTTTCGCACTCTAACTTCATGAAATTTTACCATAAGGTTCAATACCACGAAAGGAAGGTTTGGATTGATTTTGGGGGTTATGGTACCAACAGTTAAGGAATTAGGGGCCAAAAAGGGGCCAAAAATAAGCATTTTTGTAACTTCCAGACAATAACTTGTGTGTAAGTGTATGGATCTCTCTGACATTGTACCACAAGGTTTAATATCACAAAGGGAAGGCTGTAATTGATTTTGGGGGTAATTGCCTCAAAATTTTAGGAATTAGGGGCCAAAGAAGGGGCAAAAACCAAGCATTTTTCTAGTTTCATGACAATAACTTGTGTGTAAGTGTTTGGATATTTCTGAAATTGTACTACAAGGTTCCATATCACAAAGGGAAAGCTGGAATTGAGTTTGGGGGTAATTGCCCGAAACGTTTAGGAATTGGGGGCCAAAAAGGGGCCAAAAACAAGCATTTTTCTAGTTTCCAGACAATAACTTGTGTTCAAGTGTATGGATCTCTCTGAAATTGTACTGCAAGGTACCATACCACAAAGGGAAGGCTGGGATTGAGTTTGGGGGTGATGAATCATAAGGGGGTTCAAAAAATTTGGGGGGGGGGGGGGATTTTTTTTCTTTCTTTTTTTTTCTTTTAAAATTTTCCATTTTAAGTTGGTTATTTCTGATTTATATTTAAAAGCAAATAATAATGATATGGTAGGAGATACACACCAAACAGGATGTGTAAATTATTATATAATAAGTATTGTGCAATAGCTAGAAATTTTCAATTGCACAGTATTGCACAATAGCAAGAAATCTTCAATTGCACAGTATTGCGCAATAGCAAGAAATCTTCAATTGCACAGTATTGCGCAATAGCAAGAAATATCCAATAGCACAATATTGCGCAATAGGAAGAAATTGTCAATTGTACAGTATTGCGCAATAGCAAGAAATATTTAATTGCACAGTATTGTGCAAAAGAAGATACTTCGTATAAATTGCTTATTTCTTGATCAATTTCAATGGGGTTTTATTCTTGAATTCTTGGGGTTCTTTAATATGCTGAATCTAACCGTGTATTAAGTTTTTGGATTTTGGGCCCCGTTTTTAAATTGGTCCACATTGAGGTCCAAAGGGTCCAAAATTTAACTTTGTTTGATTTCATCAAAAATTGAATTATTGGGGTTCTTTGATATGCCGAATCTAACCGTGTATTTAGATTCTTAATTTTTGGTTCCCTTTTCAAATTGGTCTACATTAAGGTCCAAAGGGTCAAAAATTAAACTTAGTTTGATTTTAACAAAAATTGAATTTTTAGGGTTCTTTGATATGCTGAATCTAAACATGTATTTAGATTTTTGATTATGGGCCTAGTTTTCAAGTTGGTCCAAATCGGGGTCCAAAATTAAACTTTGTTTGATTTCAACAAAAATTGAATATATGGGGTTCTTTGATATTCTGAATCTAACCATGTATTTTGATTTTTGATTTTTGGGCCCCGTTATCAACTTTGTCCACATTGAGGTCAAAAGGGTCCAAAATTAAACTTTGTTTGATTTCATCAAAAATTGAATTCTTGGGGTTCTTTGATATGCTGAATCTAACCATGTATTTAGATTTTGGATATTGGACCATAATAGGTGAATGTCCAATTTAAAATTTTTAATTTCTTAGACCACATTCATTCTGTGTCAGAAACCTATGCTGTGTCAAATATTTAATCACAATCCAAATTCAGAGCTGTATCAAGCTTGAATGTTGTGTCCATACTTGCCCCAACTGTTCAGGGTTCGACCTCTGCGGTCGTATCAAGCTGCTCCCTGCGGAGCATTTTATTGTGTTTTGGTCTGTTTTTCAAGTACTATAAGCAATAGGACAGGTATATTTGGTTCATGGAATGATTGTAAGGTTTGAATGTGTGTCTGGCAGGTATCATCTGACCTTTTTGTTTACCACTTTGCCAAAAAGAAATTAAAATTGCCAAAATGTAGAAAGTTTATTTAAATTTAATTTTTAATGATGGCTTTTTAACATTGTAATATGATAAATGAATATCTTTATGCCCCCGCCTTAGGCAATTGGGGCATTAAGTGTTAACCTTGACCGTCCCCCAGTCCGTCCCATTTTCATTCCACACACTAACAAGTTTTCCTCATCAAAATTTTATGAAACTCATACACAATGCTAAGACCCACAACACACACCCTTTTAACTTGGAAAATTGCAAAGCTTGAGTGGGGATATTCGTGTCCTCAGACACATTCTTCTTTTATTTTATTTATTTTTAAGAATAAATGGCTTTCATGTTTTAACATATATTTTATATTCCACGTGTAGTAATACACTGAGATAATGTTTTGTACATTGTAGGTGACTGGTAACCTCATCAAATCAAGGATCGGAATCAATCCAGATATAGTCCATGATTTACCAATGAATACACCATGCACTGTGGAAGGAACTGAGGTCTTACTCCTAGAAGCTAACCAGTAGGTCTCAAATATTACTATAATCCAAAGTAGTTAGGGCCCTGTAGATTAGTCAGTGGAAGGTACTGAGGTCTTACTCCTAGAGGCTAACCAGTAGGTCTCAAATATTACTATAATCCAAGGTAGTTAGGGCCCTGTAGATTAATCGGTGGAAGGCACTGAGGTCTTACACCTAGCTAACCAGTAGGTCTCAAATGATATGTAAACCAACTTACTGATAGTTTGGGCCCTGTAGATTAATAGGTGGAAGGCACTGAGGTCTTACTCCTAGACGATAACCAGTAGGTCTCAAATGTTATGGAAGACAACTTACTGATATTTAGGTCCCTGTATATTAATAGGTGGAAGGCACTGAGGTCTTACTCCTAGACGATAACCAGTAGGTCTCAAATGTTATGGAAAACAACTTACTGATATTTAGGTCCCTGTATATTAATAGGTTGAAGGCCTATAGTAATCAGTTTGTGTGTTAGTTCATCACAAATTATTTCTGCTCTCTAATTTAAAATCCCTTTGAGTTAATAGATTAAACTTGGCATGATTATGCACCACTACTAGAACATGTAGAAGGTGTGTCTAGAACAAGGAAGAAAAATGTACACTGAAAGTCAAGGCCAAACACTTAGTTCAACTTAGCCACACCTGTGCATATTTACAAATATTATTTCAGCTCTGTAACTTTAAAACCCCTCAGAGTTCAGGTGTCTATTCACCACTACTAGAATGTGTGTCACATACACAAAAGATAACCTTACATTGAAAGTTTTGTACTAAATAATGTCTACTCTAACTTTAAAACCCCTTTGAGTTCAGCAATGAAAGTTAGTTTAACTTCAACACCCCTCTGTAGTTAATGTCAAGGTGCTGAAGTAAACATCTTTATGTTACAATTTTCATTTTATGTAAGGGCTGTTCCAGAAAAAATGTATGGGGGGAGGGGGTGTTGGAAGGCAGGTTTTTGTCAGCACCTGACACCCAGACAATTGTAATTCAGAATCCCCCATACAATTGTAATTGAGAATCACCAGACAATTGTAATTCAGAATCACCCAGACAATTGTAATTGAGAATCACCCATACAATTGTAATTCAGAATCACCCATACAATTGTAATTCAGAATCACCCATACAATTGTAATTCAGAATCACCCAGGCAATTGTAATTGAGAATCACCCAGACAATTGTAATTGAGAATCACCTAGATAATTGTAATTGAGAATCAACCAGACAATTGTAATTGAGAATCATAGTGCATTATTGTGTGAAAAGTTCATCTGATTACCAATCACCCATGTATTGTTAATATAAAGTGCCTTCTAACCCCCCCCCCCCCCCCCCCCCCCCCCCCCCCCATACATTTTTTTCTGGAAAAGCCCTAATACATATATATATACATACGTCTCTGTTCAATCCATTCGCACTTTGTCAAGACTACTAGAATTAGTTTACAGATTGATATATGGTTTGAACACTTACTGTGAATTTTTTGTTTTTGTTGTTATTTGTTGTTTGGTTGCATATTATCTACTATGCTATATGAGAAATGATAAAATGGAAAAATAGGAAAGATTTTTTAAACACCTGAAAATCTAAAAATGTTTATTAAAAGTCACAAATATGTTCAAAATTCTACTACCAAACAGGAAATCTGAATAAAATGAAAGTTGAATTGTTGTAGTTATGTCATTACTTATGGAATTTATATTTTGACACAAAATTTCTTCACAAAATTCTAATTTCATTGTTAAATCAGAAAATTGCTCAGATGAGATGTTATAGCAAATAATGTAATAAATTTAAAACGGTAATTGAATAATACTAGCAATTTTTGCATTTCAGTTGTCCAGGATCTGTCTTGTTTCTATTTAAGACACAACAAGGAAGGTTAATCCTACATACTGGAGATTTCAGAGCTGATCCATCAATGGAAGAAATGAAATGTCTTCAGAACGTACGAATACATCAGTTATATTTAGATACTACGTAGGTGTAATTAATGAATGCATAGTTTCTTAACCTTTCACATTGATCATGATCACAAAAAAATGGTATTCAACACCAACTCGTTAATTATTGTTAGTTAGCTGTTCAAGATTTGCGGTATATCCATAAATTTCTAAATGAACTGATATTTACTTGTAAAAAAATCAACAATTAAGTAAACTCTAAAAATATGCAAAATAGTCCCAATTAGAGGCCATCCTAGATACTCTTAGTCTAGAGGCCATCCTAGATACTCTTAGTCTAGAGGCCATCCTAGATAATCTTAGTCTAGAGGCCATCCTAGATACTCTTAGTCTAGAGGCCATCCTAGATACTCTTAGTCTAGAGGCCATCCTAGATACTCTTAGTCTAGAGGCCATCCTAGATACTCTTAGTCTAGAGGTCATCCTAGATACTCTTAGTCTAGAGGCCATCCTAGATACTCTTACTCTAGTCTGTTGGTGTTAACACTATCATGACTATATAGGTTTCAACCAATTTTCATAATGGAAAAGAGTAATTAGGGTAAAAAAAATAAATACACTGGTTACACATTAAATACTGATATTAACTTTGAGAAAAAACTATCTGAAAAAATATTTGTCATCTTGCCTGATTCATCTTTTCCAGATATTGTGATCCGAAGTATGCATTTCCACCCCAGAAACTTGTGATTGAGTTTGGAGTTTCCTTAGTGGATAAAATAATGACAGAGAAACCTAAAACCTTGGTAGTATGTGGATCCTATACAATTGGGAAAGAGAGGATATTTACAGGTTTATATTTCAGTTGAACAAAATCATCTTTTTGTTAAGGAAAACTTCCATATGCATGATTTGTAAGGATGGAGATATAACAGCATTTGTAAAATTCTCAAATTTTAAAATATAGTCATAACTAGGTTTTACCAATTTTATAGTTTACTCTAAATTTTTGCATGTTGGATACAACAAAACTTTGTAATACCAAAATATGAATTATCCATCTTTTCACAATATTGAAAATGAATTGTTTTTTTTTTTTTTTTTTCTTGATAAGATACATGTAGAAATCATTGGATTAAAGTAAGGGTGACAGTTGATTTGAGATTACTTGGTTAATTTGATTTAATGATCAAGTGTAAAAAAACACCAAACATAATTGTCTATGGTATCTGGCATTGTAATTGGGAAATGTCTTTGTAGACTATAAAATGATTTATTTTTATGGAGTTTAAATTTTGTGATAACTAGAGCCATACCTGTTTGAAATTTTTAATTTCAGGTCTTTCTTGTTCTTGATTCTTATCTTTCGTAAATATCATAATTATGGGATTTATTCGTAATCCAGTTTCTCAAAACAATCCTTTGGGAAATTTCCAACTTTAAATAAACAGTAACTGTATATGATTGTATCTAGGGATCAAATTAAAACCTTCCTTATTTCTTGCAAGTCCGTGTAGATACAGCTTGTTCTTTTTTGCTATCTAAATTTTGGAAATTAATCACTCTCTTGAAACTATCCATACACCATGATGAAACCTTTATTTCAATATTTTTCAGCAATTGCAAGAAGATTTGACTGTAAGATATGTGTTCAGAGAGACAAGTACAAAGTCCTGGAGTGTTTAGAGGATCCTGATCTTTCAGCCAGATTGACTTTAGATGCCAATGAAACATTTCTCCATGTTTTACCAATGGGAAAACTTAATCTACAAGTATGTTATGGAAACAATACTTATGTATATTATTTTAATTTTGTAAAAACCAATTTTTGTCTCGCCTTGACGAAGTCAAAAATCGAGACATAGGTATGCTGTTTCCGGCTTTGGCGGCGACGGTGACGGCGTCAACAATGTATTAGTTTGTGATTAGGTCTAGTTCATGGTGAACCACTAGTGGTAGGTCAATGATATTTGGTATGCAGTTATATTAGCATTGGCACATCTCATGACCTTGAAGATTATTTGGCCCTGCCCACCTCAGTCAAGGTCTATTGACTTTGAAACTTTTCATAGTTAACATGTATTAGTTTGTGATTAGGTCAATTTATGGGGAACCACTAGTGGTAGGTCAATGATATTTGGTATGCAGTTGAATAAGCATTGGCACATCTCATTACCATGGAGATTATTTGGCCCCGCCCCCTCAGTCAAGGTCTATTGACTTTGAAACTTTTCATAGTTTACATGTATTAGTTTGTGATTAGGTCAATTTATGGGGAACCACTAGTGGTAGGTCAATGATATTTGGTATGCAGTTGTATAAGCATTGGCATATCTCATTTCCATGGAGATTATTTGACTTTGAAAATTTTGCTAAGTTAACATGTATTAGTTTGTGATTAGGTCAGTTCAAGGGGAACCATTAGTGGTAGGCCAATGTTAATTGGTGTTCAGTTGTATAAGCATTAGCACATCTCATTTCCATGGAGAATATTTGGCCCCGCCCCCTCAGTCATGGTCTATTTACTTTGAAACTTTTGCTTAGTTTACATGTATTAGTTTGTGATTAGATCAGTTTAAGATGAACTGTTGTTAAGTCAATGATATTTGGTATGCATATTTATTGGCATTTGCAAGTATCGTTTCCATGGAGATTATATAGACCCACCCCTGATCATGGTTCATTGACTTTTAAACTTTTACATAGTTTACAAGTTAATGTTTGTGTTTAGGTTTGTTTAAAGGGAACGACTTATAATAAGTCAATGGTATTTGGTTTGCAGTTGTATTAGCATTGGCACATCTCATTCCATGGAGATTGTTTAGCCATGTACCTTCAGTCATGGTTCATCGACTTTGAATATTTGCATAACTTTCATGTTAAAGTATTGCTATTTTAGTTTCAACATTTGCATTATCAAAATTACAAAAAAGGCGAGACATATCTCTGTGATAACAGTTTATTATAGTTAGAAAAGAAACTGCTGTTGCCAGAACGGTAAAGTTGATATTTTCCTTATTTTGATTTTGTGCTATGAGATTGTCAGTTTTATAAGAGTCTGACTATCCCTTTGCTATCTTCAGCCTCTCATTTGCTCTTTTTTAAGGCGACTTAGACAGTATGTTATTTTCCAAAGATTTAATTGTTGTTTTGCACTAATTTACACAGTGACCACTTTTGAGACTGAAAAGAATAGATCTCTGTTTGCTTGCATTATAAAAATATAAAGAAAAAACCAACCTGCAATATTAAGCATCCTTAACAAAATAATTTTCTGTTGAACATACAAGATCATGATTTAAAAATCCTATTCCTTTTTTTTCTTTTTTTTTTTAATTTAAAAAAGATTTTAACTGTGAATTCCTCACATAAAGACTAAAAATATTCATAAGGCAATCAATATTGGTTTTGAAGGAGTAAAGAAGCAAAAAAAAAACCTTCTCCCGGAGTAATATACAAGGGTAAGCCCTAGTATTTGTTTCAAGACCATTGGCAAAATTTTGTGTGTATGTATAGTATCAAGTTAATCTACTTATTATTGATTATTACAATTTTTCATAATTTGTCTAAAACAAAGCTGTTGTGACTGTTGAAAGATACTTTTTTATGATGTAAGTGACTTTTTTTATTGTGGATACAAACTTTACATTTTAGTGTTAAAGTTTGAAAAAGAACAGTTTTTGTCATATACTAATTCTCACTGTATAACATATTGTAAACTAAATGATCATAAAAACAAAATCCACCATAAGTTGCACATCAATCTTTCATTTTGAACATTTGGTTCGTCTCCATGATTAATTGATGACAATATAGCATGGACTATTTCTCCTTCAGCAATCGTATTTATTTGTTAACTGTAGGTATATAGACCAGAATTAATACTGGGTAAGAACCGCGCTAGTTAGATGATCCATACGGTTTGTTGAAGTAATTGCTTTATTCATGGTTAAAGTCCAATTGGTGAGTGGAGCATTCCTTTAAGTGAAATAAAGTTTTAAAATATTTGATTGGTTTATGAATTTTCTCCCTTTTTTTCAGGGCTTACATGAACATAGATCTAAGTTAAGAACAGATTATAATAATGTGGTAGCCATAGAACCAACAGGATGGACTTACAATGATAAAATGGTATCATTAGATCAAATCAAACCTAAAGGAAATAAAGAAATTAAGATATATGGTATGTCAGTACACATGTGCACATTTTTCTAACATTTATTTGTTTATTAATCGTACAATGTACATGTATATAATTCTGCCATAGAGAATAACAAAGGCATTTTTAATATTTTCATAAAACAGATGAACAGGGGCCACATGATGGTGACTTAGGTTATATATCATGGTCTTTAAACATAAACATGTTAAATGTTCAGCTCTAATCTCAGATTCAAAATAACCAACAATTATATATAACTTATCAGGATATAAGGATGCATTTATGACAGCTTCTTACAGAAATTAGTTCATTGACCTTTATGTTTATCCTTTGTCAAAACACTTCTTGTAGGGAAATTATGGTGAAAGGTAGAACTTTGAAGATTTTTATCTCCAAAGTAGGAGAGTAAGACTTCTTTTCAGGAGTGTGGTTAAAGAGGGAGATTTCCTAAGATTTTTAAAGTTCCAACTGATATATTTATTTGAAACCTACATGCATGCTGTATAAAAAAAAGTTATTTATTTATTAGGGCCCTGCCGAATGGCGGGTCGCCCTATAGTGATCAGTCCGTCTGTCCGTCCATAACAAATTGTGATGCTCCATATCTAGAGAACCGTTATAATTTCATACTTTATATTTGACATGTATATTAACCAACACCAGAGGGTGTGTCATAATGTATGTACAACTTCCTAGGTCAAAAACTTTGGATTCAGTTGACAACCCCATGTCCTATGGTAAAGATCGTGTCCGCTCTATATCTTGAGAACCGTTATGATTTCAAAGTTTATACTTGACATGTATATTTACCAACACCAGAGGGTGTGTCATAATGTATGTACAACTTACTAGGACAAAGGTCAAGGTCAAAAACTCTGGTCTCAGTTGACAACCCCATGTCCTATGGTAAAGATACAAATTTTTTACCACAGGTTATTCATAGCTGGGCCCACAGAGATGGCTCCCATCTCAATGATGTCTAGTTATTTATGTATATATATATATATTTTTAGGTTTACCATACAGTGAACATAGCAGCTATCTAGAATTAAAAAGATTTATACAGTATATCAGACCTGATCAAATATTGCCAACTGTAAACAATGGTAATCCAGCTACTCGTAGGAAGATGGAATCGATATTTGAATCATGGATGACGGAAGACAAGGCAGAAAATAAACCAAAGCAGACGAAGATTGGAGCTTGGGCAAAGTAACACTTATTGAAGGATAATACAAAATAAAAAGTTGATATAAAGGATGTTGAAGAAAACTTGTCTGCAGGACAATGAAAGACAGAAATAAAACCATGTAGACGACAATGTAAGAATGGACAAAGTAAAATTTATATAGCACAAGATAGAAACAAAGTCAAAGAGAACATGACATCTTAAGAATAGCAAAGTAACATTCCTGCAAGACAAAACAAAAAATGGTCCTAAGCAGAGAACAGTTGGTGCTTTACAAAATAAGTTTTGTGGAAAATCCAGAAAATTATTGCCATTGTTAATTGTAACATGGAGTAGTGACCAATAAGGGGGGATACTACCTTCAATGCCAATTTAATGAAAAATGCTGTCATTTGTCTACTCTTTTATTTAAATATATAACTGCATGTATTTGTTTTCTATGAATTATATATTTTTTGTTATAAATATACATTTTACAAAAGTGTTCATGTTTTTTGTCAGCCATATAAGATTTGTTAATGTGAGTCCATGCCAAATTGATATTCTGGTTTGGCATTAATAATTACTTTTTCAGCTTACTTTAAGGTTAGTGAAACTGACAGTGTCTGATAAGGGATGTTTATGTTTATCTGTTTGTCTATGAGTGTATTAGTTCCTTGTATTCCAGTGCAGATTGGTCATATCTCTAATGAAAATTGACAACAATACAAGATATTATAAGATTTTAACATACTGACACCATCAAATTGTCGCCTATAGTGGTTATTGCCCTTTAATGATTTGTTTACCAATGCTTATGTATTAGCAACAATGAGAAAAACCCATACTGAATAGTCGGCTTAAATGAAGTGGGTGTAAGCAATTATAGGGAACAGTACGGCTTTCAACAATGTGATAAACCCATACTGTATAGTCGACATATCAAGGTTTACAAAAATGTTAATACATGTATCACTGAAACTACTAATTTACTTTTTTTTAAGAGTTAATGTCCTTTAATGACAATGTTTTACCAATATCAGGATTTTTATGCCCCGGCCGTAGCATTAAGTTTTACCCTTTGTCCGTCTGTACATCTGTCCGTCCGTACATTCCAAAATTGGTTTCCATTCTTTAACTTTATTATACCCCACGCAACGAGTTGCGGAGGGTATAATGTTTTTGACCCATCCGTCCGTCTGTCAGTCTGTCAGTCTGTCAGTCCGTCAGTCCTTCAGTCCGTCAGTCCTGTTTCTTGTCATCGCAACTCCTCTCAAACCACACAACAGAATTTCATGAAACCTTTTTAGATAATAAGGACATTCTATGTAGTTGTGCATATCGACAGAAAATTACGATTCAATTCTTTTTCTAGGAGTTACGCCCCTTTGAACTTATTTACTTTAATGTACTACTGCAACAGTTTGTCATCGCAACTCCTCTCAAACCACACAACAGAATTTCATGAAACCTTTTCAGATAATAAGGACATACTACGTAGATGTGCATATCGACAGGAAATTACGATTCAATTTTTTTTCCAGGAGTTACGCCCCTTTGAACTTATTTGCCCAATATACTACTGCAACCTTTTGTCATCGCAACTCCTCTCAAACCACACAACAGAATTTCATGAAACCTTTTCAGATAATAAGGACATACTGCGTAGATGTGCATATTGACAGGAAATTATGATTCAATTTTTTTTTCTGATACAATTTTTTTTTCTTACACTTATTTTATTTCTCCCATTACAATGTGGGGACGTGGGGTATGTGAGCGTGCTCACTAAGGTTCTTTAATTTTGCCTCAACCAAATGTTATGAAACTTATACACCATGCTTATTACCACAAAACACAGATCACGTTTGAATTTTGATGGAGTCACTTTTACCGTTCTAGAGTTATGCCCCTTTACAAATGGAAAAATTGCTGAATTTTTAATTTCCGTTCTCTAACTTTAGTTTGCCTCAACCAAATGTTATGAAACTTATATACCATGCTTACTACCACAAAACACAGATCAAGTTTGAATTTTGGTGGTGTCACTTTAACTGTTCTAGAGTTATGCCCCTTTACAAATGGAAAAATTGCTTAAATATTTGTTTCTGTTCTCTTAACTTTAGTTTGCCTCAGCCAAATGTTATGAAACCTATACCAGTTACACAATGCTAATAACCACAAAACACAGATCAGTTTCGAATTTTGGTGGTGTCATTTTTACCGTTCTAGAGTTATGCCCTTTAGAAATGGAAAAAATGCTGAATTTTTCGTTTCCTTTCTCTAACTTTAGTTTGCCTTAACCAAATGTTATGAAACGTATAGACAATGCTTATTACCACAAAACTCAGATCAAGTACAACTTTAGGTAGCGTCACTTTTACAGTTCTTGAGTTTTGTCCCTTTATAACGTTATATGCAAGCGGGGGCATCATCTGTGTCCCATGGACACATTCCCCATTTATTTTTTTGAAAATTAAAGATAACAAAACTTGTAAAATAATATAACAATTAGCACTACCCAATCATCAAGGATTACTTAACCCACAATAACTCCTCATAGAAGTCGTTGACCTTAAATGGAGACTTTTACCAATGCTTCAATCTGATTAAAACACAGATCCTGTGTCCATGCTTTGCTTACAAGGATCTGACAACACTTTGTTTTACCGTCTGTTCTTGTAATTATTTCATCAGCCAATGAAATTTCAGCTTCAAATGTTTGAAAGTGTGTATTAACCAGACAAAACACGAGGATCCAGAAGATCTTTAAAAAAGAAAGTAGAATTGAGCATTATCAGATCCTTGTAAGCAAAGCTTGGACACAGATCTGTATTTTAATCAGATTGTCAGGGCTTGTGTTTTGCATATTTCTTGAAACGATAATAGATGGACAAAAACTGTTCACAGTAAAGTAAAGGTATCAACAATGCAATATCTACTGCAAAATACCAAGTCACTGATTACATCTTTTGAAGCCATATAGGAGTTGATGCCCATACATGATTTTTGAACAACTATAGTGAAAATCTTTCTACAGCAAAACAAATAATCAGCAATACAAGATCTTCATAAATACCAGTAAAGCTGAAACCATCAATTGACCATTGATATGCTTTATTGCCAGAAATGACAATGTTGAACCAATTTTAGAGTTTTTGCTTATTGAATTCTTTGGAAAACTGAAAGTAGTTGATTTCCACTGCTACATGTTTTTTCTCCATTTGATGGAATGCATTCATTTTATATGTGTGCCTGCTCTCAATTATGTAAGGATGTCTGATAACTTGAGTATGTTATTTTTCAATTGGAGATGTTTAAATCATAAAAAAACCATGAAACATATAGAAAGGTCACCATGATTAATTTTAAGAAACAAGCATTTGACAAACCAGAACATTTGTTGTGAAGAGGATGTCTGAATTTTGGAGGGAAATATAAGGAAGAAATTATGGAAATTTTAAATATAATGATGCATATTCAGGACGAGTAAACAAGTATGAATACAGAATCAATGTCCATGTGACACCTATAAGGTGGTAAAAAAAGATGCATTCTATAGAGTACAATTTGAAATTCATATATCAATGGCAAAATATATTTTTCGTAACATAAATGTTCACCGATTGGTGAATACTAATTTGATCCATTTGATGTGGCCAGAGGAGTGAGAATGACAAGACAGTCCTCCATGCTTTGCAGTGGACATTTTAGTGAGAGAAAAAAAAGACAAATAAGCTTCTTTTTGGAACCCATTTTAGGCAATTTTAACTTTTAACCTTTCATGATTTTTTTGTAATATTAAATTGTGCCTAGCAAATTGTACCAATCTTTGTATCCTCACAGTAATTTTTTTACCACTCAATAGCTTGAAAAAAAAATATATATAAATTTTATAGAAACAAAAGAAATACTCATAAGTTCATAAGTAGTGTATACCAAAAGGGAAAAGAAGATATACAATTTATAACACAAATTCAAAAATGAATTCATTGTGCAAAAATGCTGTGAAAATCGCAACCCTTTAAAATGTCTTCCCATCATTCTGAAAGTTTGTAATGGTGACACCCCCTATCAACTGCTGGATCAGTGACTGTTCAAATAGTAAAATTTGTGACTCATTTGGTTGATTCTGTGTCTATAACAGGTTAGTCTCTGCTGTACAGTTGTAAATGTGTATGATTTTATCTAGAGGTATCTGTATTAGGTGTTGTGATGTCTTACAGCATCTATACTTAAGTATGTGCAAGGAACATGGAATGTTGATTTTGCTTGTTTGCTAGAGGAAACCACTATGACTTTTACCCTTGTACTATCTATTGAAAAAGGTAATGATGGTTATTTCAAAATCATTTCAGGAGTGAAAGTAGCTTTTCTCATTTTGAGTCTAACATAGTCCCAGAATGACTTGGAATGTTGCTGTTCTGTATGTAGGTAATTTTAGGTAACTTCAATCCTTGTATAGTAATGAAGAGCAGCTGAGACACCCTGAGTGAGTACCCCACCCTTTTCATAAAATTTGAAAAGCAAAAATACATACTCTCTCATATATTTTTTTCAAAGTATACCTATAGTTATTCATGGAGAGATAAACAGATGTAGAGACATGTCTCTGACAGATGTGACAAATATCGTTTTAGATACTATTATTCATCAGCAACCTTGTCATTTATTTCATCTCAATTTCTCGACCTTATCATATATAATTAATATACAATATTTTATTCACTAATCAAAGTCCCCTTAGGGAACAACCATTTAACTTCAAGGGGGAGTTATGGTTTTTTCCTAAAAAAATATTCTGATCCCCAATTTGATAAAAAAAATATTCTGGTCAAGCAGATGACAAAAAAAAAATATTCTGAATCAGATTTACCCTTATTTATTTATAATACCTTATAGTGTTAAATGAGTAGGTCCACTAAGACCCCTTTTTGGCCCCAAAATATAGCAGTTTTACAAAATTGTTAAAATGTAATTTTTTAGCTATTTATTGGAAAGAAGAATACTTCTGTTACATAAATATGGGCTGTTTTTGACAATACAATGCACATGTATCGGGCACTAGCATCATTAAGTCATGCTAAATTACTGAAATCTTTGAAATGTTAGCATTTTGGTTAATTTTTAGACGGTTTCCGTTTGAAATGGAAGTGGCCGCATTTGTGTTCATTCTTAATATTTGAATGTAAGTTGTATTTTATGATAATACATAACATATATAAAGGTTGAGAATGAACACGGATGCGGCCACTTTCATTTTTGACAAAACACATCTGAAAAATGACATATTATGGCATATTTGATAGATTTTCCATATCTAAGCTTGAATTTGAGCGTCTTTAATGACTAAATCAGTTCAAATCTTTCACATAAACTAATTGAATCGACTGAAGTAGACACTTAAGTGTTTAAAAAATGTCCAAAATCTATCATCAGATGAACCTGAATTTTGAGGCCAAAATCGGCCCTTACCAGACCTACTCCTTTTGAAAAAAATAATTT